TTTTATTTTTTTTACCAAATCAAAAGACACACCTTGTTTAAGTGATATTATGATAAGAAGTCTTATGTTAGATTTATATATAAAACTTTAAAATCTACTATTTTAGAGAACTGCGTTCTTTTCTGTTTGGGAGGGTGGAAGACTATATCGTAAGTGGCTTATAATAAAACATCTGTGGCTCATTTAGTTTCACTTTAAAATCTTTTCACTCAGTAATTGTAGTTACAGCCTCAACATGACTGTTCTGTCCTTGCAGTGAGTTTCCATCTTCAAAACTTGATAGATCACTTGCACTATGAAGATTTCCAATAAAAACACGACTTAGCTTTTTTTTTTGCAGACTGTAGGGCAAACAACAGTATTTGACATTATTGTATTCCCATTTGCTATAAAGTTGAAATGGAATGTAATAGAAAGGCAAAACAAGTTATTTGGCTTAAACTAAAGGATCAAATTTTAAAAGTCTCCGTAAATGTTTAAAATACAGTCACTCAAAATACTGGCGAGCTGTCCAGAGTACCACAGCTGCTTGTCAATGAATTCAACCAAGACCACCAAGTCAGAGGATGTCTGGCCCCAAGTGTTTCCCCTTCCATTTACATCTATCTTCAGATGTCTCTCACACAACCGTGTGCACTGCAAAGCACTGAGTCTTTATAGTTTAGCCCGAGCTCAATCTTTCTCGCGAGTGTGTGACTTCCATCACTATGGTTGTTTCCTAAGTCTCACTACTGAGTTGAAAGCGCATGGACTGAAATGAAAAACGTTTGCAGGATTCAGCCCCTGCTCAAACTGTACGATTGAATCACAGGGGCTGAGTGCTCACACTGTGCGTCCATAATATGAAGTTTATAACACAAAATCTGTCTCTCGCTCTCCCTCTCTGTCTTTCACTCACACATACACACACACCACCATCAACTTTCCTGAATTGCTAATGAAAAACATTGACCTGGCAGCTGCAATTGAGCAGCAATGTCCATCCAACTCTTTTCACGGTTGTTGCGGTCGTGATAATTTTGTGAGGCCATATCGAAAAGGCTCGGATGAATTTGTCAAAGTTCGACAAGGTGGGACTCCATCGCTTGTGTCCAGATCACACGCTGCACTGCCGTGCTGCTCCATCTTTTTCACCGACATTTCTGTGTTTGCACATGTCTTTGCTCATGGCACTGCTTCAACAGTGCAATACCCTCACGAGGGGCGACCAGGATTTTAGACAGGTTCGATTTTCTTGCGACCGTACGATTGCTGATTGGGAGCAGGCTGTGAGGTGTTAATCGCTTCTCGTTACCCCATGTATACTACACGATGCACAACACACGATTAAGGCAAAACCCAGGCCAATCCCCAAAACGGTCGCACAACTGAAAAGTCGTCTCAAAATGGGGAAAAAAAAAAAATCACACAGTGTATCCTCAGCTTTAGTCTGACATCCAAACATCAAATTTGCAGCGAGTGGTGTGGAAAACCGATGTCTGATTTTGGTTAACATTAAATGACATCAACTTAACAAAGTGAACAAAATTGAAACTCAGTTTTTATTGCTTATTTTGGTCACA